CGGCGATGAGCTGAGCTGGGCAAGGGCGGGTTCGGTCCGGCGAAGGAAAACAGGGGAAGGAGAAGGAGAGTGGGGGGGGGTCGTGGCGTCAACGGCGCGGCGGCTGGCGGGGCGGTGGCGCCAGGCGGGCGGCCGGCGGCGGTGGCGCCAGGCGGGCGGCCGGCGGCGGTCGGGCGCGGCGAGCGGCCGGCTGGGGACGAGCTTTGGCGGTCGAGCAGCAAGCAGGAAGCCAGAGTGGAAGAAGCAGGAGTCGGGGGCGGAAGAGACGAAGAAGAAGAGGAATAAAAGAAAAAGAAAAGAAAAGAAAAGAAGAGAGAGAGAAGGAGGAGACGTGAGCGGAAAAGAAGGGAGAGGGGACGTCTGCATGCATGGGCAGACATGCGCAGGCGCGGCAGAAGGAGGAGAGAGAGAGAGAGAGAGAGAGAGAGAGAGAGAAAGCAATGATCGCGATCCAACGGTCACGATTCGAACCCGAAAACTATCCCACGGTCCACGAAAATCCTAATTATAATTTAGGAAAAAGGGCCAAAAGAAAATAACCCAAAACACACTACGAGGGAGGTCCACTAGTCCAAATTCGCACCCGGTCAAAATTCCACTTTTCATATAATCCGGGTCATACCGACGCTAGCCACAACAATATCGACACCGTCCAATTAAATTCGTCCCGAAACTCTCGAAAATCGACTGCCAAGTTCGGGGTCTAAATAACGGCCAAATTCGATCGAGTGCATTCTAGCGAAATCTCTATTTTAAAAACGAGAACCCGAGAGTGGTCAGTTCCCGGGCGAGATTCCATTATAAGCGCACTGACGGATTACACGTTTTATAAATCCCAAAAATAGGCCGAAATTCGGGATGTCACAATTATCTTCAATTGCAATATTAGAAGACTTCCATACTTATATATTATCCACCTTTTGTATGACGGCATACATGCCTTTTTCACCCTTAATGGTTTTCTTATTTGCACAGTTTTCCTCCTACTACGGATTTCCTTTAAATTTGAACTTATTGCTAGTTAATGTATAAAATCTAAAATCTTCTTCATCATTGCTCTTATAGCAACCTACCCATTCTTCACTATTACCTCAAAAACTCATTTTTTGGGTGCATTTGTTATTTATTATTGGTGCCACTTATCCTTGAAAAACATTAATAATACCACGTCAGATCCATGATGTTCTTTTAGCGGCAATTTTGGAGGGAAGCGTGATAGAGGATATATATGTAACATGGTACAAGTTTTGGGTATTTTGGCGACAAAAAAAATTGGGATATTGGTGTCACAGGGCATAGTTTGGGATATTTTCTAGCTTTTTCCCAAAGAAAATTAAGGACAGTCACCCCAATCGCACTTTGTATAAGTTGATAATGTATATGTAGAATTAACGACCTTTTCTTCGAAGGCATTAAACTGTGAAAGACTTCATTATGTAAGTAGAAATTAGATTCTTCGAATGAAGAGGAAGAACTTCTCAAAACTTGAAAAGCTGACATGACTAGAGGTTTAAGCCGAGGTTAAGGTTCCAAAAATTGGAAAATGGTGATCATAGATGTAGAAATATCGCACATCCTTTGACTATGGGGCTTCATATGCTCTTTATTACATGTGATCTCTCTTCACCTTTTAATTTAAACTTTTGGGTTGGATTTTCTGATACGGCATTAAAGCAAAGTTCTACCTCTTTCCCATGTGTGTCCACCCTTGTTAGTCAATTTCCATGTGTTTATTCCAACTTACACGTGAAATGAGGTGTTGAAATATCCAACATCGCTATAGGGTTTCGTATGCTTTTATATGCATGTGGTCTTCATTTATTGACTTAAGCTTTTGGGTTACTTTTTTAATAATGAATTTGTCTCTAATTGCGCGTGCAGTTGTACCTATCACATGCCTCGATGTAGAATAGGAATTATTATCGATAAAGACATTTTCTCTATTGTGGAGTAATGCACTAGTCTTTTTCTTTTTCTTTTTCTTTTTCTTTTCTTTTTTGCTTAGTTATTTTGTAGTTTAAGCTTATTTAGTTCTTGAATGAAAAATCAAGGATTATTTTCGTGCTATATGTGTGTGTGTGTGTATAGGACAGTAGGGGCCTCTGTCAACGAAGATAGAGCTAATTGACAATCGCCCCGTCGGCTCTAACCTTTTTGAACCAGCAAATTCAGAGCTTTACCATTCATGACGGAGCCTGTTGTGAGAGAGAGAGAGAGAGAGAGAGAGAGAGAGAGAGAGAGAGCGAGAGAGAGTTAAATTATGAAATTAAAGTCTGGCCCGTCTTGTGCCGAAACCCAAATTTGCCTGCGGTTAGAACTTGGCTGCTGACTCAAGTCTGGATCAAATTCAAAGTCAAGGAATTCCAGCAAGTCCAACTCGGCGTGGGGTTTATATATTTATGTGGTCAATGTGCATAGGGTTTTTTAAGAGAGACTTAAGCCCAAGTGTCATGCTCTGCAGCGGCGGCAATTACTCAAGGTGGTTTTTCCCTTTGTGAATTTTCTAGATGAAAATACTCTGAGAGATTGTGCGTAAGCACAATTGAGAGTTTCTTGGATATAATCTAGGATTGGTAAACAATTTGGTGTTTGATTAATTATAAACTTTGTAATTCTCAGAATTCATCTTCATGACTGGTTCTCCCCGTAAAGTAAATACCAACGCTCGGACTGAACAATGTAAATACCTGGTGTCCTTATTGTTCCTTGTTGTTTTCTCTAGTAATTTTGGTATATCGTGCTTGATATTGAATTGCAAGATTCGTTAGTTTAGGCATTATTTCACACAATTGGTATTAGAGCTAAAGTTAGGGTTTCTAAAACTGATTTAGGGCTTATGCTTCGTCGGATCAATGTCTGGAATATTATTTGCAATGTTTGGAGCGAGAGTTTAGATTGAGAAGCTCAATAGGAGGAAAACTAGGTTTGAGAGCATTAAGTGTGTGCCCTATTTACAAACCAAAGTTTAGTGAAGGCGCTGGACAGTAAGGATAAGTTGCCATAAGAATGAAAGAGACCAATAAGGCAGAGGTAATGGAGAAGGACGATAGCATAACCCTGTTGATTTTGTTAGATGAGGTGTTGATTGAAATGGCAGAATAAAAGGATGCAGTAGTATTGTGGGCAAAACTTGAGTCACTTTATCTACTGAAGGGTTCAAATAATTGCTTATGGTGATCGAAGGCACATCCATCAGAGTCAATGTCCATGTTTAAGTCTGGCCAAGAAATTCCAACAACTCCAGCTCTGTGTGGCTTTCATTAAAGAATACCAGAATTGGACTTCTAGTGGCGGTGGTTAATATATGTATAAGGTTTTTTTACAGAGATTTAAACCGTAGTGCTCAGGTAGCAATAATTCCAAGTTGAGTTCATCAGAATATTGCAGTGATTGTAAAATTTGTCCGGTGTCATTATCATACCTTGTGATTTCTCTAGTAATTTCGGTATATCATGTTTGATATTGAATTGCAAGATTTGTTTGCTTTGGCATTATTTCACAACAATTGGTATCAAAGCTAAGGTTAGGATTTGTAGAACTGATTTAGGGCTTATGCTTGTTTAATCATTGTCTAGAATATTGGATTTGCAATTATCTCTAGAGCGAGATTTGAAATAGAGAAGCTCAAAGGGAGGAACAATATTGGGTTATGGAGCATTAAGATGTATGCCCTATTAACAACCTAAGTTTGTTGAAGGCCGTGGACGGTAAGGATAAGTTGCCAGAAGAGATGAAAGAGAAATATAAGGCAGAGGTAATGGAGAAGGATAATAGCATAATCCTGTTGATTTTATCGGATGAGGTGTTGATTGAAATAAGGATGCGGTAGTATTGTTGGCAAAACTTGAGTCACTTTATCTACCAAAGGGTTCGGATAATTGCTTATAGTGGTAGAAGGCACGTCCATCAGAGTCAATGTCCATGTCTAAGTCTGGCCAAGGAATTCCAACAACTCCAGCTCTGTGTGGGTTTCATAAATAAGACCAGAATAGGACTTCTTGTCGTGGTGGTTGATATATGTATGAGGTTTCTTTACACAGATTTAAACCCTAGCGCTCGGGTGCTGCAGCGGCAGCAATAATTCCAAGTTGAGTCCATCAGAATATTGCGAGAGATTGTGAATAAACACAATTAGGAACAACTTGTGTGCAGTCAAGAGTTGAGAAGCACTCAAGCAATTAATTGATTGTAAACTTTGTATTGTCCGAATTCATTGTGGATTTCTTGGCAGTTGATTCATTCCATAGCCACTTAAGCTTTTCTGGGGACGGGGGGCACGGAGCTGTCCCCATGTGTAATTAGCAACGACAGCAATACGGTCCTTAAAAGTTAGCATTAGATTTTTTTTTCCTGATGTCTTTTTCGACTAGTGCTTCCTCATTAACATTAGTCTCCCCCCTAGACGAAACAAACATACTTTGCTTGAGAGAAAATTTCTTTTTTTTTTAATTAAGCAACCCATGAGAAATGTCTGCAGCCCATAATAGTCCATGATACAAGAAAAACCTACAATTTTAGAACTTACAAATGGTTGAAGATGACAGATGTGACAATTTGCTAGTAAAGGTCCGCTAGCAATATGTTTGTCAAGAAGGAAACTCATATTTAATTTCCCGATTAATAGGTGAACAAACATGGGTTGTTCCTGATAGAAACTTTGTGCTTCTTAATATTTTCATTTGTGAGGCTTCAGCCCCCGTCAGTTTACCAAAAGCAAAAAATTGCAAATGCTGGTGGAATTGCAATTGAAGTTTGGACTTTCTCGTTTAAGCCTCTCTATTAAGATTTCTCAAGGCCCCCTTCTTGCATATCGAATTACCAATCTTCGTGCTTCAGTCTTAGGTCTAATCCCGACCTAGTGAAGCAGAGTGTTGGAATGTTTAAATATTGGACATGCTTTCATCTAAAAGGCAGTAAGATTAGTTTGGCACTTGCCTCACATTTGTAATGGTACATTTGCAGGAAAAAGCGACAAATCTACCGTGATAACCATTGCCATTGTCGTTCCTGTTGGAGGTGTGATGGTACTTCTCTTTCTCGCTTGTTGTTTGCTTCGAAGAAAGAGAAAGAAGACGTATGATGTCGTCAAAGGAATAAGTGGTAAATTGACTATTTGCCTTTATTTTCATGTTAAACCATCTATATTATATTAATTGAGCATATTATGAAACTTCTTTATTTTCCATTAGGAATTATACAAATTAAGAGTCCGTTTGACATAATTGTAGCTGTACTGTAGCTATGTTGTGCAGAAAATTGGCCATGAAGTTAGCTTAAGCTACTACAACAATGAAATGTTCGTTGAACATTTTATAGAAACTGCACCAACACCCTTTTTTCATAATTTAAGATGGTCGGGCAAGCCGTACCATATCAAACAAGTGGAGCTAATTACAAGCTTTTTAAAACATTGTGTGTATTTATCAGTGCCTGAAGATCAATAATTTCCCTTTTAAACATATTATTAAAAGCCAAAGTACATTTGATATCAGAAACATTTGACCAAAAACCAGAGTCAACTTTGTTGTTTTCTTATGTATACTTTAAAAAAGTTTTGCGCCTCTATAATTGAATTGAAAAATGATGTTTATCATGATTTCAAATCAATTATATTAAAACAAGAAAAACTTACGTATCACATAAGTTCTATGGGATTATTGTCAAAAAAGTCCTAAACATATTACACGGCAGCCAATTTTGTCAATTCGCCAATTTAGTACTACTGCTATACAACTAGGGGTGAGCAATAGATCCGTTTTAACTCGAGAATCAGGTTTGTTGGTCCGGTCCTTAGCCGGTACCCCAACCAGGCTGGTTCCTAAGTTGAACCAACACAATTTTGGCTTTCAAGCCTCTATCAACGGAAAAAAAAATTGCGCTCATTAAGATTAAAACCATGTCTTAAATATAGAAAAATAACCCCATAACCCCTTGACTAAGGACGATTTTTTAGTAAAATAACACATTTTTCTATTTTATTATAATAGATTTAATCTTGAACCAAAATGTAAAAATGAGTTGGTGGGACAGGCCAGTTTAGATCAAGAATTGACCCACCCTAGAATTCCCCTATGTACGACAACGAGAAAATTATCCAATCAGTCCTAAGTCTATTGTACGGATGCCAATTTTGTCTTAAGAATTTTAATTTTGTCAATTCAGTTCTAAAACTTTACACAAAATTACAATGTAGTCATTCCGATCAATTTTGACGGAAATCGCTGACTTGGTGGTTTAGTCATTACTAGCATCACCACGTCAGCAATTTCCAGCAAAAATTGGCTAGATGGACTATATTCGAATTTCGCATAAAGATTTAGGATAAAAAATGAAAAATTTATGACTAAATTGATATTCGTATAATAGGTTTAGGATTGATTTGAGAATTTCCCACAGCGCCGCCAAGAAACAATCAAAATTTAAAGAAAGTATTCGATATTGGAAGAATCCAATTCTTCATGCTATTTCTACCTTTAAAACTATACATAGACTTCACAAGCATACATAATGCCATCAGCAGAAGGAATAGTTTGGGAACGTAAAAGCTTATTTCTGGCCTTCTATATGACATAGATGGAGCAACTCCACAAAAATTTCACCAATCAGCTATCAAAATTCTCCTTTTTATAGCATCAGGACTATTCAAACTCCCAATCACCGATTCATCTATCAGGAGAACAAAGCTGAAGGGCACTCTTCCAGACTTGCTTAGAGAAACTGCATTCAAAAAACAAATGGAATTTAATCTCAGTGCTTTCATGACAGAAAAAACACAGTTTGGCCATCATTAGAAGACTATCTGTCAATTCCTTGAAATATAAGCAACTTTTCTTGTCTAGCCAACCAAAGTATGAATGCAAACCTCAGCATATTAGGTGAAAGCCAACCAGCCAATGCCACTTCGCTCTTGTGCCTCTGTTCCGGACAATCCCAAGTTGAAGCAGAGGTAAGAATGACACTAGAAGCAGCAGTGCAAGTATCTCGGTCTTCCAAAGGAGGCTTTGGACAAATTACACCACAACCAGCTTCCTGGATTGATACCGAGTCTTCAGACCTCGCCACGGGCCATTTCCATTCAGAGCACAAATTATATCAGCCACTTTTGCATTTCAAAGAAGAGCAGAATCATTGAGGTACCGTGACACGGAAAGTGAGGATAGGGGTCAAGACGCAGTCGGGTGAGGCGCCGGCGGCTCACCGCAGCCTTCTTAAGCCTCTCCTTAGGGATACATCCAGAAAGATCCCATTAGGATGCCATGAGTATTGCCAGTGCTATAGATTCACAGTTGCCGACCACATAACGAGGCCTCAAAATACTCCTAAAACAATTACCTCCAAGCATAGGTAGCATCTGCACCCGCAATTGACTGACCTAACACTACCCTCAGCATGAAGAAGTGATCATGATCAGAGATTTATCTCATTACTTTGTCTCCTATAGAATTGATAATTTTGTTTCTTTTTTTCCCGTGATGGCCATCTAAAGGGTAAAGATTGCTTTGGGGTAGGGGGACAACCATGCCAGTCTAATCTGTTGATCTTCATTATGACTTGTTGCGAAGCACTGACAACCCTATAAACTCCACTAGGAGCCACTGTCGAGGTAATTCGAAAATCACATTGACTTGTTTGGTAATGTAGGGGCAAATGAACTTACCACCGTGGAGTCCTTGCAATTTGACTTGGCTACAATGCAAGCAGCAACAAATAATTTCTCTCCTCAAAACAAATTGGGTGAAGGTGGATTCGGTGAAGTTTTCCAGGTACGTATTACATATAAATTGGAAATGATCAAGAATGCTTTGCGTATGAATCACACATAATGATTTCGGAGAGAAAGAAACATGTAAAGCTTTTTTATGTTAGTTTTCAAGAAGTGGTCATAAGGAATTAAACGATATATACAAAGCACTTCAGGGTGGACTTCCTAATGGACAACAAATCGCGGTGAAGAGGCTATCACAAAGCTCAAGACAGGGTGACGAAGAATTCAAAAATGAAGTTCTATTAGTTGCCAAGCTTCAACACAGAAATCTTGTGCGACTACTTGGATTTTGTTTGGAGGGAGACAAAAAGCTACTGGCCTACGAGTTTGTGCCAAATAAAAGCCTTGATTACTTCTTATTTGGTATGTTGCAGTTTAACCTTCTTATGTGCAGAAAGTATAATTTGCTAGAAATAAAATGTTGTCAAGATCTCACTAGCTGTGGAAACCTTGGAATTAAGAGGTTTTTGTTCTTTCAACTGATTATAGTTTTTCTTTAAGCAACATTTGATGAATGAGAATAATATATTTTGGAATTGTGATGGACTTCGCCTCTAGTTTTAGAATAGGTTCCACATGCTAGCACATTAATGAATTTTGGGTGCAACGGTGCAGATTCCGAAAAAAGGAGACAATTGGATTGGCCATTACGTTATAAAATAGTATCTGGAATCGCTCGAGGAATGCTCTATCTACACGAAGATTCGCGACTCCGGATTATCCATCGGGACCTAAAATGTAGCAATATCTTGTTAGACAGTGAAATGAACCCAAAAATTTCAGATTTTGGCATGGCAAGGATTTTTGGAGTCAATCAAAATCAGGCTACCACAAATAAAATTGTGGGGACTTTGTAAGTCTAAGTTTTTGAGTGGATGACTTTGTAATTGGATGCGGCACTTGCTCATTTTATCTATTTAGGGATGCTAAGCGATCTGCATCTAAATCTGCAATGCACATATGGCTAATGTTCGGTTTTGCAGTGGTTACATGTCTCCAGAATATGCAATGCATGGAGAATTCTCGGTGAAATCCGATGTTTATAGTTTCGGCGTGCTACTTCTAGAGATCATTTGCGGCAAGAAGAATAACTATTACCACCAATTGGATGGGGGTGAATATCTTGCTAGTTATGTAAGTATCACAATGCTACTGTGACAAAAATGTATAGCGGCACTCTTTGTAATTTTGGTCAAGTAAAATTTAAATTCCTTTGAAAAAACTCAGTCGGCACTCTTTTCTGGAATTATTCTTGCAGGTGTGGAATCAATGGAGGGAGGGCATGCCCTTGGAAGTGTTGGACTCAGCTATCATGGATTCATATTCAAGAGATGAAGTGCTTCGATGCCTGCACATTTGCTTACTCTGCATTCAGGAACATCCGGCTATTAGACCCACCATGGCCACCGTAGTTCTCATGCTCAGCAGCAATTCCATTACCCCACCATCGCCTCGACATCCAGCCTTCTTTGTCCGAAGTAGATCGCAAGGACTAAACATCCCAATGAGAGAGCTTGAATCGGACCGATCCACTAGTAAGACTATGCCTTCGTCGACCAATGGCATGTCGGTTACCGAATTGTACCCCCGGTGAGTGGCGGTCTAAGCGAAATCTTTGTTCACGGATGGTCTCACAGTGAGATTGCTTGGCCTTCCACCAGATTATTTATTAACAAATTGTTGAAGGAATGCACCTCCTCTCTTCTCTCAAGAATTCTAGATATTTCTAAGTTACCTAAGACAATTGCTTTTAAGTGTCTGGGTCAGTGTGAGAATTTAGGACTGGGGGTAGACATTTTTTGGCATTTTCGTAAACAGGAAGATAAGAATAATTTATGTGAAGTTGTAAAGTGGTCTCCAAAGGTAAAATTAAGGTATGTATTTGGTACTTTTAAAATTATAGGTATTTAATTGGTTATTAAATAAAAGTAAGAAATGTTTTTTGTACGTTGCATGGATTTAAATAATTAATAAACATAAAAAGGACAGTTCTTCCGCACCATTGCGGTGCTGTGATATTTACAGCAAGTGTAAAAGATTGACTAGAACCTATTGTATTTAATTGGAATTTAAAAAAAAATTTGATTCAGAAGTTCTTTCAAGTCTAGAATAGATCTTCTTAAATTTAAGATTTTACCATAATTGGATTTAAACGGGAGATTTTCCTTCTCGGCATCTAATCCAAAATTGATTTTCCTTTCTAACAGATTGACACCATATAAAAGTCCTTATTATAAACTATATCAATTAAGAGAATTTTTGCTTTTCTTTTGCGAGGATATTTATCTTTGATCAGTTTATTTAGCCGTGTTTTCATTGCCATCTTCCAACGGAACAATATTTGACCTTTCTAGAATGAGAAATTTTTTGAGGTCCTCTAGTGTACGTATGCATACGCACATGCATGCATGTCTACATACATACAAACATACAATACTCTAACACATGCAAAGCCAATCTCATTTACGTTACGGGTCCAATATGTTCTTTTGTTAACATTTATATATTAAGTTGTGCATTCATCAAACGATAAGACTAGAATTTAACGAGAGTTGAAATGCAGAAAAATATAATTAAAAGGCAAAGAAAAGATCTGAAAAGATATAAGTTTAGGATCTCCTATTTTGATATCGTCCTAAAATATGCAACAAATCAAAGTTTCAATGTGAGAGCTATATCCTTCATCTTGACTTTGATCCAAGCAAAGCTAGCTTAGTTTAAAAAAAATTACAAAAATGGTAGGACCATCCAAAATATAAAAAAAATTTAAGAAAAAACTCCTGAAGAAGGAATTAAAGTCCCAATCATAGAAAGTAATTTCTCCGCTAAGGTTTCGTGCACAGTACACCGCATCTTTAAAAAGAAAAACAAACAAAGCGACCTTCTAAGGACCAACAAGCCACAAAACAAGCACATTCAAAGAAAAGAAGCGGCACTTTGATGTTTTCTCGCAAGATGATCTCTTCTTATCATTCTTGTTTGATGGTCCTGGAGTATCAGATTCTGAATATGCCCAAGAGTTGCACTTTCAGGAGGTTTTAGAAGTCTCCTGGGTGATGAATATGAATCCTTCAAAAAGAAATACCGGGTCTTCCTCGTCTTTAGCGGTTGTGACTGAGGCAAACCCAAACAGAAGCCAGATGATAATCATAGACCCGGTTGAGATAGGTGTTCAAAAAGATGGTGGTGAGTCATCAGAGAGATTCTGTGAGATTTGTGCGGAGAGAAAAGAGGCCAAAGAGATGTTCAGCATCGGGACCGTGTGGTCTCACACCTTTCGCTCTCTCCGCATAAGCAGGTATGTGGAGACCAAAGTCCTGGACACTGTCACCACCATCAAATGCCCAGGATTGGAGTGTGAGGGTGTCCTACAGATTAATTCCTGCAGGCAAATCCTCCCTGAGAATGTTCTCTACATGTGGGAGAAATCGCTGTGTGAGGCGATGTTTCTCGAGGCGCAGAAGTTCTATTGCCCTTTCGAAAACTGCTCAGCCCTTTTGATCAAGGACTATGATGGTGGGGAGGTGATTAGAGAGAGTGAGTGTCCAGATTGCCACAGGTTGTTCTGTGCCCAGTGTTCCGTGCCGTGTCATGCCGGCATGTCGTGCGAGGAGTTTTGGTCACTGAATGAGGATGAGAGAGGGAGTCTGGATCTCATTGTGAGGGAGCTTGCAAAGGAAAAGAACTATGGGAGACGCCCCAAATGCAAATTTGATGCGGAGAGGACTCAGGGTTGTGCTCGCATCACTTGCGGGTTTGTGATACGTTCACTGAAAAGAATCACTTGCTAGCGAATCATTTATCAAGATAAATCAAGAAGCTTGACACATGACAGCTTCTTTGTTGAGATTTTTCTAAAATCCTATAGACGTCGTTGAGTTGTTGCTTGTGTGTAATTGGCGAAACAGAATTTACAGGGGATCTTCCATTTTTCAGAGGAACTGATATCGATTGTGGCTTTCAAAATTTAAATTACATAAAAGGCAGATTAACTCATGATAATGAAATTCAAGTACAAAGTTTAAGCATATTTCATCATATTGTAGTGGTTAAAATACTCTTCAATACAGTGTGAAAGCTTATGACTAGGCAATGGTCAGTATGTAGTTTGATAATTAAGCATAACGCGTTTCATATATCTGGCGTAGCTAACAAGGATCACCTAGAGGGGGGGTGAATAGGTGATTTGAATGATTTTAATCAATTTAAAGCGGAAACAATTGATCACCGGTAAAGTCTAAACAATGTTCAGATTCTGAGCAGTTTATATAGACAATGTGCTAGTGTGCAGTATGTAAAATAAGAGCTTAGGGATAGAAAAACTGCACAAAAGAAGTCATAGTGGTTCGGCTTAGATCAAGCCTACATCCATTCTCCCACACTGACAGTCTACTGACTAGATTTCACTATGTGATCAAAAAGAATTACAAGTTCTGAGTGATATCACTCTGTGAATGATAAGATTCTCTATCTCACACAATTACTTTTACAAGATGTCCCTTAAGATCTTAGTGTTTTGCTCTGGAAAGACAAATAGTAGAATCAAAGTATGCTCAGACTTTGGACTTGTTGATTCTTGACTTCGTTCTGTACCTTCTGCTCCTCATTAATCTTCTTTTATACTCCTCCACTTCCAAACTAATCGTTGGACAGTCTTCAAATAATCATCTTCCAATCTTCACCTTGGATAGATTTGTATAAAATCGATTGAGCAGCCGTTGGTTGACAAAATTTGAATCCCGCTGAATCTAGTCACCCATACAATCAGAATCTTGGTTTCCATAAATAAAACGGCAAAAGAACACTACAAGTGCCATAACTTGTGTACGGCGCTCACTTTAGTGCCATAACTTTTTTTTTTTTTTTTTTTTGGTAACCCGGGAACCCCCCGCACGGCCGACAGCCGAGGAGGTAAACCCGGGGTGACGCTAGCGCAGGACCCACCACCACGACGTCACGCTTAAGAATCCCTAACGCCAGCGCTGGGATTCGAACTCCTACCCTTCGTGGGGGGAGGAGAGCCCGAAGCCAGCGCAGCCGCTGAGGGCGGTGGTGCCATAACTTTTTTTTGGATCACTTTAGTGCTAAAATTTTTGAAAAACGATCACTTAAGTGCTAAAATTTTTGAAAAACGATCACTTAAGTGCCAACTCTGGTGCCGTACACAATTTTTCGCCGGAAATCTGACGTGGCATTTTTTTATTAATTTCTGAAGCTGACGTGGCTCGCCGGAGTCTCGCCGGAGATTGGCACTTAAGTTATCGTTTTTCAAAAATTTTAGCACTTAAATATTCGTTTTTCAAAAATTTTAGAACTTAAGTGATCGTTTTTCAAAAATTTTAGCACTAAAGTGATAAAAAAAAAAAGTTATGACACTTAAGTGATCGTTTTTCCTCCTACTTGGCACCAAAGTGATCCGAAAAAAAGTTATGGCACCAAAGTGAGCGCCGTACACAAGTTATGGCACTTATAGTGTCCTTTTGCCTAAATAAAACTATATCCATTGTGATATATATACTTGCCTTAATATTTTATTGTCAATCAATTATAACCTTTTAACATTGAGTCAATAAAAACTTTCATTCTATGAAATTCTCGCCAAATCACTGGTCGTTACTTTCGTTCTGAGTAGTTTCAGAGTCTGAGTAACTTCTGGTTCTTACTTCTCATTCAGAACTTAAGTCAGTGTGGGTCTTCAGTAGGGTCTGAACCTTTCAAAAATAAAGTCTGAAGTTCTTCATCTACTTAAAATAAAGTCTGAGTGACTTTTACAGTAGAGTCTAAACTTCTCGATCTAATTCTTGTAAAGTCTAAGTGTCTTCCTTCTGGTCTGATGTAGCTAGCAAGGATCACCTAGAGGGGGGTGAATAGGTGATCTTAAACAATTTTTGATAATTTATGCGGAAACAAAATAAATCATAGTAGAGTCTGAATAAAATTCAGATTCAAGACAGATTATAAAGACGGTACTCTTGATGTGCAGAATGTAAAGTAAGAGATAAGGGATAGAGAATCTGCACACAAGTTTATAGTGGTTCGGCTTATAGCAAGCCTACGTCCACTCTCCCATGCTTACAGCCTACCGGCTGGATTTCACTATGTAATCAAGAGGAATTACAACTTCTGAGTGTTAACACTCTTGAGTATGATAGGACTCTCTATCTCACACAATCACTCTTACAAAGTGTCCCTCAAGATCTTAATGTTTGGTTCAGAATGACAAGAGAAATTATTGGAGTATGCTCAGACTTTGGACTTGTTGATTCTTGATTCTGTACTTCCTTCTGCTGCTCGTTGATCCTCTTAAATACTCCTAAACTAGCCATTGGACAGCTTTCAGAGGATCATCTTCCAATCTTCACCTTGGACAGATTTGTATAGAAAGGATTGAGTAGCCGTTGGATGACAGATTCTGAATCCCGCTGATTCTGGTCGCCCATACAATCAGAATCTTGGTTTCCATAACTAGAGCTTTGTCCGTTGTAATGCATTCTTGTCGTGATGTTTGATTGTCAATCAATTTGATTGAGATTGAGACAATCAGAACATTCCTTCTGTGAAATCCATGCCAGATCACTAGCTGTTGTGTTACGTTCTGAATTCTGCGTCTGAAGAAATTCTGCGTCTGCATCTGAAGAACTTCTGCATCTGTGTCTGAAGAATTTCTGCGTCTGATTAATTTCTTCGTCTGCATCTGCATCTGAATAACTTCTGCTTCTGCATCTGCATCTGAATAACTTCTACGTCTGAATCTCAGAACCTAGATTATGTGGGTCTTCAAAAACATACTTGACAGTTTGTAAAGTCTGAATAACTTTCTTCTGAGCTTCCAGAATATACAGACCTGGAATAAATTTGTTCAGAATAAGTATCAGATTTACAATAACATAGAAGGTTTTGTCAACTTCAAAATCAATAGGAGTTTTCATCAACAATCTCCCCCTTTTTTATGGTGACAAAACTTTCTTGCAGATTGAATTATTTTGAAAATAAATAAACATATTAAGCTCCTAAAACACAGATTGAAAGAGCAAACTCTGTTGATATCTCTGTCTTTCTTCCTTTGAATATAACCTGTAAATCTGCACATAATTTCTCCCCCTTTTTATCATCAGCAAAAAGATAATAATAGAGAGAATAAGGCACTGAGATTTAACTAATCAACCAGTCTAACAATAAGTATGAGATATATTACAGACCAATTGAATAAAAATGTGGAGAGAAATGTTGAAAAACAGGCTATTTTTTAGGAGTACGAATCAGTTGAAAGTTTTCCAATATTGAGACAGCCTCCTCAATCTTCGAACTGCATTGACCTATGGCCTTATCCATGTTGGATGAGCACATAGTAATGGCTTCCTCTAATGCTGCTTTATCTGCTGCTGCCTGAAGTTGTTGAGCCTTGGTGTTTTCCTCAATAATTTTCTGTAGATTCTGCATATGTTGTTCTAAAGCAGTTTGCTTGTCTTTAATCTCAAGCAGAATAGAAAGGATGTTCTGATTTTCGGATGGCTGACCTTGGACATTAGCTTCCTCAGACTGATTGTACCCTGTGGCTGATTCTGGTGGAATCTCCCCCTCAACAGGTGATTGATCTTCACAAACATATTCTGCATGTATGGATTCTGAACCCTTGGAAGCTGGTTCAGGAACATGTCCTGGGCCTCCTGTTTCAAAGTGTTCTGCTTCTGCTTCATCATTTTCATCATGCAGAAGAATTCTACGTTTCTTGCTGTACACTTTTAGTGGAGTAGGGGAATCAGGCTGCTTGCTGGCTGAACTGGTTCTTTTCCTTTGCTCCTTTACTTTCTCAACTTTCTTGCCAACAGATTTTACCTCTGACTTTTCAGCCTCTTTTCCTTTTACTCTGTCCCTTACATCTTCAAATTTCTTCATTTTGGAGAGCATTCGTTCTCCAACAAACATAAGAGGTAGCATGGTTTCACGCAACTCACCAGGAATAGATATATTGAGAAACATGAAGATACGAGTGATTAAAGCTCTATATGGCAGATGACCCTTATCCTTCTGTAATGCTCTGTACATATGAAATATGATGAGGTGAGGAAGAGAGAAGGATTGACCTTTCAAGATAGCCCAAATGAGCTTTATCTCTGATTTTGATAGGTCAGTTTTTGAGGCATCTTTTGGCTTCAAACAGTTGATTATGATCTTATGCAAGATCACAGATCGTCTGGATAAGTCAGAATAGGAGAGATGGCGCTTTGATCCTTAAGCAAAGTTTGGATTGTCAGAAGCCACCTGAGAAGCTTCTTCAAGATTCACTGCCAACGGAGTAAAATTAGAGTGTGTGGCTCCAATTATCCTTGCCAATTCATGTGCTTTTAAATCAACCTTCTTGTCACCAACAGTAAACTGAATCCAATTTGGTGACAGAATTGAAAGATTGGAATAGAAGTAGGCAGTTAATTCAGCATAAGTATTGGCAGATTGAAGGCAAAATTCATAAATCCCTAACTTCTCAAACAGGTGCTGTACAGAAATGCCAGCCTTCTCCAAGAATTCGAAATCCACAGTCCTATTGTTCATTACTCCTCTAGCAAGTAACAACTTGTAGCACATGTGATGCGCAGTGCTTCTGAACAAACTTCCTGTTCCAGGCAAACCAGATGCTATTCCCACATTTATCTCAAAAGTCTCAAAAAATCGTGCATCATTATCAGGAACAACAAATTTTGAAGCACTAGTAGACTTAGGGCTTACATGAACCGATTTCTTTTCAGAAGGAGTTGAAGCTTCTCCAACTTTTTCTTTGCCCTTTCTTGAGGAA